ATCGGATGGAATTCAACCCTTTCTACAAACGTTACAACACTTCCACGACACAGCCACTCTTCCTCCTCGTACTCACTCCTCGCGCAGGTAGGCGAAGGCGTTGAAGACGAGCGCCGTGAAGGTCGTCGCCATCGCCTGCGGCACCAACTCGCTGTACAGCACCGGCACCAAACCCTGTGCACACATTCACGTTCGTCAACATGCCTTCATCGCTGTGCGTGTGCGTGTGCGTGGTGGGCGGCGCACCTGCCAGAAGGCGAGTGGTCCGTGCCGCACAAAGATATCCTCGGCGCAGTGCAGGCCGCTGGAGTAGCGCGGCGTGCCCAACGCGACCTCGAGGCCGCTGCCCTGGATGGCCATGGTCGTGCTCACCACATACAACGGGCTGCACACGCACACATGCGTACGCGCGCGCTCGATTAGCTCATGCGGTGGAAGGCAAGATTGGGGGCTCACCTGAGCACCAGGTCGCCGAGCACGCTGAACAGGATGTTGCTCGCCGCCGAGGCAATGAGGCGCTTGGTCTTGTTGACCTTTTTGCTTCGGGACTTGAAGGGAGGCAGCTTTCGATAGATCCAGTTCGCTATCGTTTCCTGCGTGTCGTCATGACAGTCGGTGGTTAGAGAGCTGCCAAGAAGAAGATGAAAGAGGAAGTACTTCTCGGGGCGAGTAGTAGGAATAGATTGCGTCGGACACCACCGAGGTCAGAAGGTGCGGGATGAACCTATGTAATGGGGATGCAAACCCCGTCAGCCTCACCGAGACTGTGGGAGTGTAAGAACTCGAAGAAAGAGTGAAGGGCGTACGCGTAGCGGAAGGTGTCGGCGTAGTTGATGCTGCTGAGTGTCTGTCCGAGGCCCGTGTACTTGAGCGGCAGAACGGTGACTTCGCCCGCCTAGCACAACAAGGAGGGAGCGAACTGCAGTCAGATTGTGAGAGGAGCAGTGGTGATAGCCTGGGCGGTACCAACTGAGCAAAGAGGCGGTTCTGAGCGATGAAGAAGGGGAAAGAGGCCAACGAGCCCAACAGCAGACCCAGAGCCTTTGCTCCCAGTCGTCTCTGATGCCATCAAATCAGCTCGGTGCAGGGAGGCAGAAGGGGAAGAAGGCGAACAGGGGAACAGTACAAGCTGGGACGCGTCAGACGAGGGCGAACAAACAGCAGCGGTGACCAGCTCCACCACGCTCTGTGCCCACGCCTGCGCCGTGTGCGCCAGAACGCCTGGACACCAAACATTATAATTATAATTATTTTATTAATATTGAATAAATAAAAATGAAAATGTGCAGGCAAGATGGAGAGGTACCAGGGTGGAGGAGGTTCAGGGGCTGACGGAGACGTCGGGCGTGAGAATCGATGAGCTTGGCCTCGTGGTGCAGGGCGCGCAGATGGAACTGATGCGTGAAAGCCGGGTAGGGAAGCGAGATCGAGGAGGTAGCGTAGGTCAGGCGGTGCGCCAACACGACGTGGGGTGCGTAGGAGGACCACCCGATCGTTGCCGCGACGATCAATCCTCCCGCAGTCCAGAGACCCATCTCATCATCCTCACTATTCTTGCCTGGGCCTCCACCCGCACCCAAGCTCGAAGACGACCGCGACAGCCTCACCGACGGATTACGCGGCATGCTGGTGCTCTGGCCTATATTCAACTAGTTACTTTCGATTTCAAATTTCATCATTTATTTATTTATTTTTTATAAATATTTATAATTACACGTCACGGCTGTGAAGGCGCCAGGCTACTGGCCAGGCTCAAGCGGGATCCTGAAGACGAAGCAGAGCCCTCGCCGGTCGGTGAGAATGAACTGGCGCACCGAAGGCACGAACGTGAGGGACAGTTCGTGGTCTCGACCGAAGGTGTCGTACAGGAGCTCCTCGATCGTCAGCCGCTGGTGGCACAGTACCAGTTCCTCGCCCTGTGTGTTGTCGCAGGAGGGGGCCATCTCCGTCCACGCGCCCTCGCCAAACGTGATGTTGTGCTGGCCCGAGACGCGCCAGCGCCCGCTCCCGCTGTTGAAGGTGGACCTGATGTGGAACCCGAAGTCTGGCTTCAAGGTGAGGGTTACCCGAGCGATCGCCCGAGGAGTGAACGAACCCACAGGGCTAGCATGAGGAGAGGGTGGAACGTCGATCGAGTGAAGGTGGAGCACGGTGCCCATGACGGCTTGCAGGCCGTGCGGGAGGAGGTGGGTGGCGATGGCGGGTGGTAGCGGATGGACTGCGGGCAGGTGGTGGTCATTAGTGTAGTTGGGCGGCGGCATGATGGAGTGCGCGGCGCCCAGACAGTAGAGCACGTAGACCAACGCAGCCACCCCCACCACTGTGCCAATCCTCGACGAACGCTGGAGCGTGGCGGAAAGAGGAGAAGGTGGATAGGCGGTAGTAGTACGCATGGTGATCGTGCAGTAGTATTGACATGATGGCCTCTCTTGGTTTGTTGGTTTGTGCTGCCTCTTGGTCACGCCACGTCCCCACTGCCACGTCACCGTGTTATAGCTTTTGTAGAGTAAATAAAATAAATAATTGAACACCAGCTCTCCTGCCTCTCGATATACACCATCCTCATCCTCGCCATCTTCTTCTTCGCCTGTCTCCTGTTGTTCTTCTCTCTCTTCCATGGCCTCCGCATGGAGAAAAAACTGTGCAACGCGTCGCTGTCGAGAAACTCTCAGCAGCTGCAGCCCGACTGAGGCGGAGCGTTGGGGTCGCTCTCCGGCTCCTCTGGCGGCTTCAACGTGATGCCCGTATCGGAAGGAGCCTTGAAAAGATGATCAAGGTGAAAGAGATCAGCCACGACAAACAGCTCGCAAAGTAGAAGATATGAGAGTTCCACTTACCTTGCCGGCGATCTTCCCGTCATTGTTTACCTGAGACAGGTTGCTCTGGATGATCTCTGTGTGCATAAGTAAGGCCTCGTCAGTGAATGCGGTCATGCAGGGCGATCACAAGAAGCGCGTACCCTTGATGAGGTGGGTGAACGCCTTCTCGATGTTGGTAGCGTCCTTGGCCGAGGTCTCGATGAAGAACATATTCTCTCTAGCCGCCACCTTCTTTCCCTCTTCGACGCTCACACACCGCTGCGATATTCAGAAGAAACATAGCGATGAGACGACGATTGAGTGTAGACGTTGTGCAGGCCTTGTGAGAGAGAGAGAGAGAGACTTACGTTTTCGCTCAAATCGAGCTTATTGCCTACGAGCGTGACAACAACGTCCTGAGTGCAGTACTTGTCGATCTCCTGCGTGGCGAAAACGCGCTCATAGCCGTGAGATGCTGGTTCGCAGCTTGGGATTGCAAGCGTTGCGTCTTGTACGTGCATACCTCAAGCCATTTGGGAATGGAGTCCAATGACTCCCGAGACGTGATATCGTACACAACCAAAGCACCCTGGGCTCCGCGGTAGTACCTGGGGATCATCATCATTAGGAACAGGCACGGCGTGCACGCGCATGGACCCTTGAAGGCAGAGTTATGGTGAGGATGACGTACGCGCTGCTGAGGGCACGATATCGTTCTTGCCCGGCTGAGGTGGAAAAATCGCGAGATTGGCGGATGAGATTTAGAAGGCGCGAGTAGTGGTGATGCAGTAGAGGCGTACCTGTGTCCCATACTTGCAGCTTTACTTGCTTCTTGCAATCCTTAGTGCTGTCATTCGACGTTTCGACGGCCATGTTCTTTGTGGCAAATGCCACACCAATCGTAGTCTTGGAGCTCTCCTCGAACGTGTCGTTGGTAAATCGAGACATGATGTTCGATTTGCCAACGCCAGAATCGCCCACGATGACGACTGTGTAAAGAGACAAAGATCAGATTTTGCAATGAGCAGAGCAGCGGGAGATTGCGGCGCAACATAGAATTTTGAGACAAACGAACTCTTCAGAAGGTAATCGGGCGTATCGGATGCGTCGCTGTTCATTGTTGCGGATGATGCAGGGGTTCTTGATGGAATCAGTGGGTTGTTATCGATTTGTACGCTTGATCTCTCCCCCACAAGAAACTCCTTTCTTAGCCTACGCGGGTCTCAACGATCGGCGAACTGCTGGGCGTTGGCACGAAATACCCCAAAATTTGCTCCTTTCAAACTGCGCTACGCCCTTTTCGCGTGTTTTCGTTCTTGTCCTGTCCGGAAAAAGCCCGCCACCCTTCACAGAGAAAGAACGCCAAGACATCAGTGTCAGTGTGGTTTGGGGCGGGTGATGGGGTCACGGTGGGCTCCACTGCTCGTGCTGCTCGCATTGGTACTGAGTAGCGGCAGCGCTGCGACAGGGCCATTGGAACCGCTGCAGTGCCCCTACCAAAACGAAGAGGCACCGCACAAGGTGCCCCGCCCCCCCGGGCTACCCTCTCCAGTGCCCTGCTAGGCTGACGTGCCTCGCGTGCACCTACTTGTGCAGCCACAACCGCCCATCACGACATGTTCGTGGTATGCGGACAATGCGTGCTGCGATCACCGCGACACAAACGACCTCATCCGTTGGCTCTACGTCTCGCAGAAGAGTGGCGGGCAGGACGGCACCAACGGCGAGTGCCTCTCGCTTCTCCACGTCATGCGATGCGGTCTGTTGTGCTCGCCAGCGCAGGCAGACTTCGTCGAGAAGACCAATCCCATGCAGTCCAGCTCTAAACTCAAGCTGGCGGCATCGCCGCAGATGCCTTACACCTACAGGCTGTGCTCCTCCTTCTGCGATCGCCTGTACGCTGCGTGCAGTGACGAAGGAATGCGAGAGGTTGAAGAGGCGGAGGCCGGACCAACATGGGATGCTGCGATGACCTGGGACTCTGAATCTTCGTCCCCCGCTGCAGAAGAGTTCTGCAAGTCGATGGCGCCATCTGACGTCGAGATCGTTGTGGTTGAGGACATTCCTACTAAGTCTGGGTTCGTGTCTTTTCACCACGAATGCCCATAGAGGTGTGGACCTCTAATGGAGACTCGCTTTCGCTCATCTATAACACACAGGGACGGCCACAAGCACATGTGCTTCAACGGACGGCCGACTACGGCGAGCGCAAAGACGTCGTTCGCCTATGGCCAAGGTCTGACAGCAGACTTTGCCGGACGGTGGAGCTTCTTCATTCAGGTTTGTCCCACCTTTGCTGTATCGTGGCCTCTCCCTCGTTGACGTGTTAGCGATGGCTGGCAGGCGGTGGACGCGCAAGGCGAAGAGATACGCGACGGAGGTGACCACTTTATGGCCAGGGTGCAGCAGATTCCGGAGGGAGTGAGCATCGATGTAGAGCAGACCGACATGTCCAATGGCCTCTACTCGGTTTCGTTTGTTCTCAGCGACCCGGGTGGGTAACCTGACATTCTTCTCTGCGTGCCGTGCAACGACACTAATGCTTGAGAGAGGATTCCAGGTCGATACCAGATATCGGTGCTGCTAGAAGGTCAGCACGTAAGCAACAGCCCTGCGTACACCACGATTGTCGACCACAACAAGTGCCTAGTTCCCAAGACCAACCGACGTGCACAACGGGTTCGCTTTCTTGTCACAGAATCTTGCCTCGCTCACTTGAATCGCTAAGGGCTTTGTACTTGAACTCAGCCCGAGCCGCAGCTGAAGAGATGCAAGTGGTACAACGAGAAGGCTTGCTGCACCGCTGAGAAGGATCGGTCAGTTGACCAGTGGATGGCCAAGGCGATCAACCCCCTCTTCAAGGTATGCCCGTTGTTCACCCTGGTGTCGACGGCAGTCAAATAACCTCGTCATCCCCTCCCCCGGCCAGCACAAGCCCAACTTGCCAGG